TGAGTTCCGGTTTGTGAGGGGATGGGTGAGTTCCGGTTTGTGAGGGGGTGGGTGAGTTCCGGTTTGTGAGGAGGGTGGGTGAGTTCCGGTTTGTGAGGGGTGGGTGAGTTCCGGTTTGTGAGGGTGGTGGGTGAGTTCCGGTTTGTGAGGGGGGTGGATGAGTTCCGGTTCGTGAGGGGAGTGGATGAGTTCTGGTTCGTGAGGGGAGTGGGTGAGTTCTGGTTCGTGAGGCGGGTGGGTGAGTTCCGGTTTGTGAGGGGAGTGGGTGAGTTCCAGTTTGTGAGGGGTGGGTGAATTCCAGTTTGTGAGGGGAGTGGATGAGTTCCGGTTTGTGAGGGGAGTGGGTGAGTTCCGGTTTGTGAGGGGAGTGGGTGAGTTCTGGTTTGTGAAGGGTGGGTGAATTCCAGTTTGTGAGGGCGGTGGGTGAGTTCCAGCAATTGGTGAGTTTTCAAGTAGAGTAATTGGGCCCAGAGCTGTGATTATGGTGACAGAATTTTGAAAATTTCGGGATCAAATTATTTCAAGATAGATTCACAGCAGTTAAGAAGATAGTTTCCTGGAGGCCCTGTTCCTATGCTACTCTTCCAGAGGAACCCATAGCTCCCCGCATCCTGCACCACCTGCAGGACGCAGCTCAGACTGTGTGTGTGTGTGGTATGTGTGTGTGGTGTGTGTATAAATATGGGGTGTGTGTGTATATGTTGTGTGTGGGGGATGGTTTGTGTGTGTGTGGTGTGCAGTGTGCAGGGGGTGTGCGTGGTGTGTATGTAAGGTGTGTGGTGTGTAAACACTAGCATTGGCGTTCTGGGCTGGATCAAGGTCTGTTAGGGCAAATGTCTGGCATTCGTCTATGCGTCCTACTATTTTAAAACATAGTATATTGATAGGAAATTTGAGGTGTCATTTGGCAAACAGATCAGGAGACAATTAAAAGATAATTTGTTACTCACAGATCCGAAGGAGAGGAGGCCGTGCTGTGCTGTGGGAGGCCACATGGGAGGCACCAGGGTCAGCCAAGAGACAGAGGAAGTGAGAGACTGGGTCTGAGCCCTTATCATGATTTCCCAGGAAGGCTTGCCTGTAAATGAGGTGGCCAGGTTATAGGCTGGGTGAGGATGGAGGTTGTAGGCTGGGTGAGGGTAGAGGTTGTAGGGTGGGTGAGGATAGAAGTTGTAGGTTCGGTGAGGGTGAAAGTTATAGGATGGGTGAGGGAGGAGGTTGTAGGTTTGGTAAGGGTGGAGGTTGTAGGTTGGGTGAGGGTGGAGGTTATTGGCTGGTTGAGGGTGGAGGTTGTAGTATGGGTGAGGGTAGAGGTTGTAGGTTGGATACAGGTAAAGGTTGTAGGTTAGGTGAGGTTGGAGGTTGGGTGAGGGTAAAGGTTGTTTGCTGGTTGAGGGTGCAGGTTATAATATGGGTGAAGGTAGAGGTTGTAGACTGGGTGAGGGTAAAAGTTGTAGCTTAGATGAGGGTGGAGGTTGTAGGTTGAGTGAGGGTGCAGGTTGTAGGTTAGGTGAGGGTGAAGCTTGTTTGCTGATTGAGGTTGGAGGTTATAATATGGATGAGGGTGGAAGTTTAGCTTGGATGAGGGTGGAGGTTGTAGGTTGGGTGAGGGTGGAGGTTGTAGGTTGG